TATTAACTTAAGGGGGCTGAATAATTTTGCACGCCCAATTTTTCAGTTTTTTATTTGTTAAAAACGTTTGAAATATCCAATAAATTTCGTTCCACTTCATGATTGTGTCCCACTTGTTGTTGATTCTTCACAAAAAATTACAGTTTTATATCTTTATGTTTGAAGCCTGAAATGTGGCAAAAGGTCGCAAAGTTCAAGGGGGCCGAATACTTTCGCAAGGCACTGTATAATATATAATGGTTACTTGCTCTAAGGGGATAGTGTGGCACGGGGGCTCAAATGTTGTTGGTCCTGGAGATGATGAATTTAGTCTTATCAGCTGTTCTGTAAATCACTGAATTCAATGAGCTGAGGGAAGATGGAAATGACTGATTCATGTGAGTCTGGTTCACAGCATGTGCTGCCATATCAGAGGTCTTTTGGACTGAAACCAAACATTACTATCTGTAGTAAGACCGAGTTGAAATGAACATGTAGTTGAGGTCATCTTTAGCCCCGGGCTATGTGCAGTAAACACAGTGATAGTGGTCTTTTGTTTAACCCAGTGAAAGCACTGTTAGTTGACATGATTCAGCAGGGGAGACACAGCTTTAAAAAACCCAGGAGACAGGACTGTCAGCTTTCAAAGTGTACTACTTAAATACAACTTTAAGAAGGGTATTTCTATAAGTAAGTTTACTGTAGGGTACGTGATAGTTTAAGGATTTCCTTGAATGGTCATCATCATCATCAGTGGCACTGTCTTCTCACAGCAAGAAGTTTCTGGGTTCAAGCCCTGGTGTGTGGTTGTCTGTCTCTGTGAATGTCATGTTTAAGAAATTGGTAAAAACAGTGTGAATCTTACATTAATTGTGAAAAGACAGAAGAGAAATGCATTGTTTACAAGCCTAATATATACACTGTGGTGGGGAGGCGGGGGTGAGGGAGAGCAGACTAATTCATGCCATGCATTTTGCATTCCTGTTACCTCATAATGATCGTTTAACAAAAGCTAATGCAGAGTAAGTCAAGCTGAATTAAGTCAAGATGAAATATGATTTTATTAAATGAATTGAATTATACATCATTTAATGATGATGTTCATCATCAAAGATAAGTTGACAGTGGTCACTTCTCTTTACTAATGGTACAGTATGGCAAACTGAAGGCCTGCAGATGTGTTTCTCCAGTACAGTACAATACAGACCAACAAGTGTAATTTGACAAACATTAGAATTTGTCCAACACTGAGACATCATGCAGTTGCATACAAGTTGCATTTATGGTGCATACAAATCTTAACTTTTAAGTCTTACAAATTATTACAATCATTATTTTTGGCTTTACAATATATCGACTTTAGACATTAGGTTTTATAGTGAAGGGTTAGAGTCTTATTTTATTGTTTCTGGGGCATCACAGGCTGCAGACCCTGCAGATGCTTCAGCTTCCCTCACTCCCTGCCTTACAGAAACTCCACAGCCACATGGCATAACAGATGGAGAAACAGTAAAGATGTACTGGAGCTGTGAAGTAAAGTAGCTGTGCATTCACATTACATTATAATGAATTTATAGCATTTTATTTTAGCCAAGCCTCTGACACCTGCGTGAAGACATTCTTCATCTGTTCTCTGATAGGTTAGTCTGACATTGCTCTGTAATATGTCACAGTGCTTGCTGAAACTGGTCTAGTTTAAAACATTGCTGTATTATGTAATGGATGAACCTTTGATGGTACAGTGGAGGCAGAGCCAGCCTCCATCTGCTAAGGGACTGACAACAAATACTTTGAAGTAATAAAATGTAAAATGCTGCCAGATGGAGTCATACTGAAATTTGTTCTTGATAACTCATGGACAGTATGTACATACAGTCATTGCCAAAAATACTGGGACCGCTGCACCACTTCAACCAGAAAATTGGTGCTGTCACAAATCCTTTGGTATTCTAATGTTTGTTTCTTTTGTTTACATTGGGACAGCAAAAAAGCAGAGAAAAAAAACAAAACAAATCTGATCAATTTCACTCCAAAAATAGACTGGACAGAATTACTGACACCCTCAGCTTAATATTGGGTAGCACACCGTTTGGACAAAATAACTGAAATCAATCATTTCTTGTAACCATCAGTGAGTTTCTTCCACCTCTCTACTGGAATTTTGGACCACTCTTCTTTTGCCAACTGCTCCAGGTCTCTCAGATTTGAAGGCTTCCTTCTCCCAGCTGCTGTTTTGAGATCTCTCCACAGCTGCTCTATGGGATTTAGATCTGGAATCATTGTTGGCGACTTCAAAACTCTCCAGCTCATTGTCTGAAACCATTTCTGGTGCTTTTTTAAGTCTGCTTTGGGTCATTGTCCTGTTGTATGACCCATGACCTCTGTCAGAGACCCAACTTTCTGACAATGGGCCCTACACTGTGCCCCAGAATTCATTGGTAGTCTTCAGATTTCATAATGTTCTTTTCTTTGAAGGCCTCGTTTCATTTTCTGAATGATGTGCTTGACCAAATAGCTCTGTTTTAGTTTCATCTGTCTACAGGAGCCCAGATGGATATGTGGCTTCCTTAGCTATAGTTTTGGCAAACTCCAATCTGGCTTCTTTATGTTTCGGTGTCTCCCTGGATCTCCTACCATAGTGTCCCTTGTCATTCAGATGGCAACAGTGCGACCTGACACTGTTGCAGCCTGTGCCTGCAGGTAAGCTTGAATTTGTTTGGAAGTTGATCGAGGTTCTTTATCCACCATTTGAACAATCCTTTGTTGCAGTCTGTCATCTGTTTTTCTCTTTCATCCATGTCCAGGCAGATACGTTCCAGCACCATGGACTGTAAACCTCTTGACAATGTTGTGCACAGTGGACACAGGAGCAGCCAGATCTCTGGAGATGGACTTGTAGCCTTGAGACTGTCCAGGCTTTTCCACTATTGTGGTTCTCAAATCCTCAGACAATTCTTTGTTCTTCCTTCTTTTCTCCATGGTCAGTGTGGTCCACATGACACAAAGGTTGAGTCAACTTTTCTCCATTTTAACTGGTTGCATGTGTAATTTCTATATTGCCAGCACCTGTTGATTCCTATGGGTGAGTTTGTCACAAATTGAAGGAGCATCACCTGCTTGAAATACAACTATTTCTGATGATTTTGAAAAGGTGTCAATAATTCTGTCCAGGTTGTGTTTGGAGTTCTGTGTGGAATGGATCAGATTTGGCTTTTTTTTCCTCTACTTTTTATGTTGTTCCAATGCAAACAAAAGAAATAAACACGAGAAAACCACAGAATTTGTGATTGCAACAATTTTCTGGTAGAAGTGGTGCATTATCTGACAGAAATGCAGGGGTGCCAATATTTTGGGCCATGACGGTAAGTAGATACATATGTACTTAAATTGATGAAGCAACTGGTTGTGTCAGTAGAGACAAAGAGAGTGAAGCCCTAACGTCAGCATGTTACATAACTGGTCAGTTTGAGCCTGTGAACCGTCCTCCTGCTGCTGATACAGTGAGATCACAGAGCGCAGCCTAAATGAGGCCACAGCATTCATTTACACTGTGACGTGTTTCCACTACAACATGCAGCTCTGTCAAACAAATGTGACAAAAGAGAGACAGCCTATTCAAACAACATGGTGATCATGAATGCGACATTTTGATTCAGCTAGGTGCAAACTATTATTCATTCAACTACAAAACATCTTCTAGTGAGAATTTGACAAGTGTGAGCATTTGCTGCTTCTCTTAGCTTTATATCATTATAAACAAAAAACTTTTTTTACTAATGGTCAGCTAAAATAGAGCATCTGAAATAGTGAAGGGCAATATAAATAAAACTTTCTACCAAATACTGTATATGCAGTTTTATATCATCATGTAGATATTAGATATTAAGTATTTTCTGGAAAAAAGTGAAGCTCCATCCTTAACCTTGGAAATAGTAGTTTCACAAAATATTAATTCAAAGTCCAGACCTTTCAGC